TTCTGAAAGGAATTATGTGAGCAACCACTATTGCTCAAATAGCTACATTCATAGTCCAACTAAGAAGTGTGATGCAAAAGACAAAAATAGTAGTGTTTGACATAATTGCCATTAGATATCCCTAAATCTTACCTCAAGTGGAAAGATAACCTCATTAGTTCTACTCAAAGCTGTTATCATTTTTAAAATAACAGTACTGTGCAGTCTTCTGATAAGGACTAGTTAACCTAAAATTGTTTTTAAAGGCTTTTACTGTATGCCAATGGTGACCTACTATCAAGCCTAAGAGATCCTATCTTCCCATTTTGCACAGGAGACACAAAGCAATTTTACCGCCTTGCTACAAGCACTTAAGTGCTGGAGTAGGGTGGGAGGAAAGGTAATTTAAATGCTCAGCTTGATTTGATATACCAGCAGCAGTAGAAGGAAAAATGTTAAGCTTTTTTCCCCAAAATGTGTTGTGACAGAAAGATACCGCACATTCGTAAAGCATCTTCCCTCTTACCCTTCTCCCTGCCCCAAAAAAATACCAGGACATTTTTTTTGCCCACTTGAACCAACCCACAAAGTACGTAAACAGACACTTGGCAAGGCAAGTTCCAGCAATGCAAGGGAAGTTTAACAACGTAGTTCATAGTTCTGCGAGGAACCAGAAATCTGGTAGACCAAGCATACAGTGTTTACACTGTGACTTACTTCCAGATTAAGTTGTATACAGAGTTGACATACTAGATGGTATCTGACAACATGGTTATCTAAAGCCGCATGGAGACATATTTCACACAGTGCCCTGAATCTGTCAGATAACTCCTTCACAATAATGCTGGCCTTGAGCTTGAGTGTGGTTCAAAAGTCAAGAAAGTTGAAGTCATTACTCTAGTCTTCCCTCCTCGTTTAAACCGGCAGCTCTAGTTGTGGTTGAAATGGCTGCACCGGTGATACAACTGTACTCATTTAGAAACCCAATATTTGTAGAATCAGTACAATTTTTTGAGTGAAAATTATGATGTCTGTCAACCTTACCATTTTCTCTTTTAAATGAAAACATGTTTTAAATGTCTTATGTGGCAGTGTCAACTGTAAAACGCTCTTTAAAGCACCCACTGCACACCATCAAAACCTTGCAGATTTTTTTATTCCAATAATTAAAATGCAAGTAGGAAAAAAGAAAAAAATTAATTTATCTTTAAATCTCTTTCAACAGCACAAGTCATCCTACTCAGGAGCTGTAGAGAGCTAACTAAGCTCCTTAATTCCCTTCTATTTAACCCACTCCTAAAGACTGATGTTCTAATGAGATATCAGTAGAAGATTCTGTCCTTTGCCATAGAGCATTAGAAACGATTCCACAAAACAGTACAGGCTAAAACAGACATTTAACTCCTGTACAACTGGTGAATATAATGCACTTTCAGAGTTTGTATACTTTTCTACAAGAGGCAAGGTAAAAAATGACAAGTCTGCCTCCAGGCAGGTCACAGAGATCACAATAAACCACCCAAAGAGAAGGAAACCTAGCTGTCACCATTGGGATAGCAGAAACCCACATATTGTACTAGTTTATATAGTCTGTCAGTTGGTTCAGTAGTGATGAATTTTTCTTTCTTTGGCTGCCTGCCACTGCACAAAAGCTAATCTTGCACCTAAACAATCTACGCATTAAATGCACAGGAAGCCTTATCTTTTGACCTATGACACAAGATGACAGACAGAGCTGGTGAAAATAAAGAGGTGCTGCCCTGATAGCTGAGGGCAGCAACCTTTTAAGGACATCAAGATGTTTAACACCCAACCAACTCTACATCTTGGCACAAGCAGTTGATGTATCTGCTTTGCCAGCAACAGATATCACAGTGGGGAAAATCTGACTTGGACGGTATAAGACAGAAGAGAAACTTAAGACCGCACAAGTCGTCCTTACTCATTTTGTCTTCGACACATACGAAAACAATATCGAATCAAGTGCACCTAAACAAATCCTCAGGTGCTTGTTTCTCTTTCAGGTATGCAAAATTTAGTCAGTAATCATTCACCTTAAAATAATTTCCCTGAAAACAGCACAAGAATCAACACAAAACATCCTCTTAAAAACTAACCTTTGAAATTGTAAAAAAAAAAAAAAAAATTTAAAAAACCACACAGAAATGAGACCAAAAAAAAAGGACCAAACCCACAAACCAGCCACAAATATGCCAGAAAGATTACTTCCTGACCACTGTTCAGCCAGCAGGTTGAAATGCAGCAGCAGTAGCTTGATTTAAGCACAGTTAAGCAATTAAATACTGCAAAGTGCCCAAGCCAAAGTTGCAAAGGAAGCCTTACCATGGCCATTTCTGGACTCAAATGCAACACGTTCAAGTGGAAAACTGCAGTTCAGTTGTTTGTGTATGGAAAGTTCACCTCAGTTAGGTCTGTTCACAGCAGCATTCAAGTCCAGACTAACTTTGGTCTACTCAGATTAAAATCGATTACCAAAATAAATGAAGGGGGAACTGCTGATGCAACTGTATCAGTACAAGAAGTCAACCCTTTCATATGCAGGCAAACTGCAACTACTTCATTTTGTCGAAGTGACTACCTTAACCACGATGTACGCACCATACTGCATAACGAAACACTGTCACAGCGTAGTTTTGTTTTTCAATCAGCAGCCCAAGCACTCTGAAGAGCTTCACACAGAGCTAGTGCAGCATCCACATAGGAGGCAGCCCTTAAATATGCTAAAGCTTGTTCAGTGGAAATTTTCCCCATCACTGCATTTTTCTGTAACAAAGATGTTGTCAGAAATGACAATTTTTCGTGTCCCCTGATGATGCCTTGCTAGCATTTGGTTATAAGCCATAAAGCAGGAATAATTTCAGCCTGTCAGGAGTCTAGCTAATGCCCAGTTTCCCCCTAGAGAGAATTCCTGTCAAACGTAATGAGAGCTCCAAAGGCCCTCTCTACAACATAATGAGCACTTAGGCCATGCTGGTGATCAGCCAGCAAAAAGCATCAATTTGAGCCTGGCTACACCCTTGGGGTTAGACGTCACTAGTTCTAATAAGAATTATGATTGCTATCTGCCAAAAGCCTCCTCAGAACTTATCGTTAGCAGTGGAAATTCAGAAGAATGTCATTGGTAGGTTTTTTTTGCTTCCTGTAATCTAAGACCACCTACATTCTGAACTGTAACACCATTTGGTATACTCACTGCAGGCATCTGAATCAAGAGTCTTTAACATGAAGGTGCTACTTTTATCAGAAATTAGAATTATTTAACACGTAAAAGCATAGTATCCGAGACTCATATCCAGTAAAATGTATTTATGCCTTCAAAAGCTTATTCTTTTCTTAACAGCATACACAGAGCAAGTGTGCTCTACTCTCCCAGGCTAGACCCAACACGGGTGTAATGCTTTGTCATAAATCTTAAAAGCTTCCAAAGTATCACTGCCTATTGGGTATGTAATTATAGTTGCCATACATACAGAACATTAAACCCTTGCAATACACAGATGTTAAGGTCAAAGTGGAAACCTCAGTTCTGACACTCTTTAATCTTCTGGGCTTAATTGATTTTATCTAAAGTTAATTCCTAGTACATTTACTGAAGTCATACGTTCTCTTCAAAGGTCTTCTGAAAACAACATCCATTTCACACCAAATGAGGCTGCTATATAGATGTTGTCTTTTTCACAGTTACAGTGTGTCAAAACATTGTTTAGGGAAAAAAAAACAAACAAACAAACAAGAAAGAAATCTCCAAATCACAAAGCCTGGAAAAGTCACCTCACAGGAAAACTGACAGTCTTCTACAACACAAAACAGCCTAACGCAGCTACAGTACAGAACCAAGTCAAACACTACTCTAGTTGTTCCATCTACCTACTTGGGGCATTACTCTCAAAAAAAAAAATGAGGTTGTCACAATATTTCTTCTTGTACCAGCATTTTGGATTCAAAGAAGTATACCTCTGCAAAGAACATACCTACCTAGCTTTGCAGACAAAGTTAACATGGAGTTACAATGCTATTTCATCAAATATAATATTTTTAGGGGAAAACAAAACAAAAAAAAAAATCAAAGAGTTCAGAGCTACAAAAGCAAAATTCAACTCTGCAATTCACTTGCTTAATGAAAGTCTTTGAATATACTGAAGATCTGAAGCCTGAACTAATCAATTTCTTCGCTGTGCCCTAGTCGGTCAGCCATGCTCTTTAATTTAATGAAACAAGAGTTTTAGATGAAATAGCACATACACATCAAGAAAGAATTGTATTGTTGCACTTTGAAATGTGTCCAACTGTGCAACTTCATCTAATGATAATTTTTTTTAAGAGGCCATCGATTTCTGAAAGACTTATTGTACCAGCATCTTGATGAAAAAAGTGAATGTCAGCATATCTACAGAATACTTGCACCCTGCCATTAATGCTTTATTTGGCAGACAATGACTACTCAATTGAAGGTCCTCTGGCCTGAGCAATCATTTAGCTTTTCTTCTCTTTTGAGGTCCTTAGTGTCTTGTTCCAGTTCAATACTCTTTTTATTCACCATTATAGTGGTCATAAGTGTGAATTTTATGGGAACTTGCAAACTCATAGTCATAACTAGAGCTTTCCAAGTCACCAATTTTTTCCACACCTTTAAATGGCAAGGATTTGAGCAACTATCACTACTTATGCTACACACGCATAAGACCAGTTCTACATATCAAAGACTCTACCACTAACAAAATAAAACCACATAAAACACTGAATTATATTTTTGAAACCGCAGACACAAGACCTTTCCTATTTTTGCCAACGTCTTCCAGGACCAGTACCAAGAAAGTCTTGTCGCTCAACCTAATCTATACCTCATTTGACAGCAGGTAGGCAAAGGTTTACTAACCAGGGCTACAAATCAGCCTATTGATTCAGACACATGATACAATCATCTAAACAAACAGAAGGGCTACATTTAAATGGACTAGACAGACTGCAGATTTTGTGGTTTAGAAAATAAAATGTCTTACCTGTTTGTGCATTTCAATGTTTAATCCATACGACATTTCGTAATACTGCAAATAAAGGAGGATAAATTATTTTGTTATGCTGGCCTACGTTGTATTAGGAGTTATTTACTGAAATAAAGAAAACACAAATACACTTACCATCACATAGTGCCTCTGCATTTCCGTCTTTTCACTTGCCAGTTTCTCACATTCCAATTTAAGGCTACAAAATAGATCACACTTTAATGTAACTGTTATGTCATTTGTTTTGACATCTACCCATTTTATTTGTATTTTGACAGAAGCAGCTAATTAAAAAAAAAACTCATAAACTAACAGGCAAATACAGAGAGAAAGATTTAATTCATATTTTAAATACAAAGGTTGATCAGGAAATTTAAAAGCTGTTTCATGGGTGCTGTACATGACCCAAACTGTCTCCAGAACCTGAACATATCCAATCTTCATGCTTCGACAAAGAGCTACTGTGAAGTGCTACAACCTTCAAGCTATAACAGGATCTGAATTTCTCCGAAGTACTTCCCAGTAGTAAACCAGAAGTATTTCTTTGTATATGACATTTAGTAAATTACTGTCAAGTAACACCACTCATGTTTACCATTACAACTTGAGTACCGTCTATAATTCTTAATCTTAAGTACACTCCAGCTAAGGTTATCTTGCCCACAGATTGAAAATCAGCAACTTTGACTATCGTTTACCAGCAAGTTTGTTTTCTATTTTTGTTTTCATAAATGAAAAGAAAGTGCATTTGGCACTTGTATATCTCATCACTAACAGCGGTATAATTCTGACTACTTTCACTAAGGGCAAATGCCTCAACATTCCCTTTGTTCTCTGGCAAACCGATATTTTTTTTTTTTTTTTAATGACACTAGTAAGCACCCTAGGGAACGGTTAGTGTATAAGTCAGCATTTTTCACCTACAGCTGTGATAATGAATGTTTATAGTTTACACTGCATTCCTAAGGTAAAAAAATGGCTTAAACAAGTTAACTATTTTAGATAAGACTGAGACTACCGCATCATAGGTAAGAAAGAGGAAACCTAATCAAAACCAAGCGATTTCTAACTGGGAAACCAGCAAAGTTTTTATTCCTATCCAGATCTTGCAGGTGCACGTAAGTACAAAATTAAGGAAGATTGATGCCCCTCAACACTAATTGCACTGTGTATGCAGGAATCCATACCCTAAATCTCTGCAGGGTCCTCAGCAGCAAGCACAAACACAACAAGAACGTCTGAAGGACAGCATAGCGATCAGAAATGCACGCCACGGCTTCAGCAGATTCTTGTCAACTTTGTGTTAGTACTCCAGTACTTGTGTGCTTTAACAAATCTTCTTTAAGCACCACACGTTGGCCTTTTATTATTAATCTTTGCATTAACACCACACACAAGCGAGCAAACGTGAGAATTAGCCTCCTTAATGCTCTGTGCCACAGAATTAGCTCAGGTCTTACCTCGATATACTTAAAAAAAAAAGAAACAACACTTCCACGTAAGGATCCCTAACAATTTTTTAAACGCATACAAGCGCCGAACC